TTTGATTGATTGATTGTTTAATTATTAGTATGAGTTGTTTTAATCTAACTTAATCAAAAAAACAAATATATAATATTTAGAGTAAATTTGTTTTGAAAGTCAAATTCTACTAAGAAAAAGGCATCGAAGAGGTCTGCAAGAAGTAGACAAACGCCCCTCGACCCATGTAAGAAATCGAAACAAAAGAAGATTAGGAACAAAAAAAAAACCAACCACAAACTGCAACCAAATGAGGACCAAAGCTGGAAGAAAGGCCTTCAAATGACGGTTGCAAAAGGGGAGCAGAACCAAGAACAAGAGAAATGGACAAAGAATTGCACCTCGAGGAGATCCAATTAAAATACTGGCATTGGATGTCACCCAAGAGATTGAAGCTTAAACCGACTCTTCCAAAGACCCAAGAATTTTTAAATCTAATGGTTTTGTGTATGTGATTATATGTTTTTAACACTTTTTGTTCCTTTTTAAAAAAAAATCAACATACTGTGTCTTTTTGGTTGTATATTTACAACGACTTGGGTGCTTCATGTAACCACAGGGACCCAGATATTGATTTATTTAAGAACCGAACTTGTTAAAAAACTACAACTACATAAACCCAAATATTTGATTTATTAAAGGGCAAAATTTATTAAAAAAATGGAACTACAAAGATCTAACTCATAAAAAAATGTAACTATAAGGATATAAATGACATGTTCCGTCGATTTTTTTAAAAATCAGACAAGAACTGTTGAAAACACTTAAACCATAAAACATAAACATAAACACCTATAATGTTCCCATGAATCTTTATAATATTTATATTAACTTGATTATTATATTTATTAAAATAATTATAATGTAATAAAACATGTTAATCAAGTTTTTCCTTTTGAAAAAAAAAGAAGGTAAAACTCAGGCTATTTAAATATATACATAGAGAGAGAGGTAACTTATTATGTAACCTCTTATATTCGTATAACCAATATAATCAATAACAATCGTTCATTTAATTTGATGAATATGCGATTACATAAAAGTTTAAATTGTTTCATAATATAAAATATTAATCATAATTAATGAACTATAATCATCTTTCATAAATATTAAATCATAATAAATAAACTCTCATTATTTTCATAAATATCTCAATTTATTAGGTTGCATTGATTGTAAAAGAGCAATGAGTTACATTTGAAACGTCATCTATATATATATATATATATATATAAATTTATATTTAATTTAAAAAATATAATTAGTAATTTCCACCGTTGTGAAAGAGGGATTTTCAAAGATTCGTTTGAAGAAAAGAAAGCAAAAGTAATTCACTTTTCTCTCTCTTTAGTTTTTGTCTCTCTTTTCCTCCTTTCGCTTTCTTCTGATTTATTTTATTTTACTTTTTTTTATTTATTTAATTAAAAAATATTTTATCGTAAATCAAATATTTCACAATGAATGTCAGGAGTTCCGGATTGCAACTCCTTTACGAAAAGACACCTCGTAATAAACGTTCTAAAGAAAATCAATTTTACTTACGAGATTATATTACAGGTCTGGATTCATATGAGACCAACATGTTTTTATGAGATCGTTAAATCAACATGTTTTTTTTTTAACAACCCCTTTACCCCTAAATTTTCATAGTGTTTTTGCTGTGAAAATTCAGATTTTTTTTATTTTTACAGCAAAAACACTATGAAAATTTAGGGGTAAAGGGGTTGTTAGAAAAAAAACACTAACCAAAGCAAGCATAGTACAAATGCACGGCAAACCCCAAAAAACCGAAGAAAGCTAAATAGTTTGGACGGCTTATTCGGTCAACTATACAGGTCGTTGTGCTATTAAACCAAAATGGTTATATGGAATAAATCAGAACCTCAAATTGTCCCGGTTATACCTCCTGAAACAACCATAAATACCCTAGAAATTATTCCAACAGATTTTTGTCTCTCTCAAACTCATCAGTCCCGTTCTTTAAACAGATAAATTTATCCAAACAGATAAATTAATTCATATATTTGTCTTAATGAAAAAGCTCTTATGAATTTATAAATTTATTGTGTAAGATTATTTAAATTATCTGGTTGGTCGGTAAAGTTATTAGTTGTGTATTGGTCAATAAATATTTAATTGTTTATTAATTTTTAATTAATAAAAATCGTAATAAATAAGAAGTAAATGGCGTGAATGAATGAAAGTGAAGATGGGCGCAGAGTCACGAGGAGGATATCGGCGGCTTCATCACCACGGCTACTGTAAACGGTGCCGTATTTACTCCATTCTATTCACATGTCTCATGCACATTTCTTTATTTCATTTTTAACAACCATAAAACGTTATAAAAATAAAGGTGAAAAGTTTACAGGTTTTGGTTAAAAATATTGAGTAGTAATTAATAAATTTAAAAATATAAGAAATAAAGGGCGTTTACCAAACACTTACTCGGATAAGTGAACATCAAGTCACATTTCTTTACCGGATGAATATGGTAAGGACCAATAATCTTATCCGGTAAGAACGAGACGAGAACCAAAAGTCTTACCCGGTAAGTCAGAATGACGACTCTTACCATGTTAAGCGCTTACCGGGTAAAATCTTGCATACAATACCGTTTTGGTGGACTGAAATCTTACCTGGTAAGTAAAGGATAATGTTAAATTTTACCGATAAGTGTTTGATAAACGATCCCTAAGAAATTATTAGGTTTTATATAATATAATAGGTTTATTTCTGTAGAAATCCAAATTAACTGAAAGAATGAAAATTCGTTCTTGTTTTCATTTATCTGTCTAAACCAAACATCCTCTTAGAAAAATTTGATAGATTTGTCGAATTTTCGGTAATTAAACAAATAAATAAATTTGAATTTGTTAGAACTAATTAAATAAATTACTTTGATGTGTAAAACTGGTTAATATAGTGAAATATTATTAGTCTGAAAAAACTTAATAGACTTTGATATTTTGAATGATTATATGGTTAATATATGTAACAAGGCAATATTGCCTAAGTAAACAACCCCAAAAAATGGGAGATAACTTAAATTATAGAAGTAAAGCAGATTAAAAGTTGAATCAAATACAAACACCCAACAAAGGGTAAGTAGTAAGAGACATTACATCAAATAATGTATGATAGCTAACAACCTACCAATTCAAACCATAACTAGATATAGATTACAACTGGGTGTCGCTACAATCTATAAAAAAATATTTAACCGTTGAAACTCCACGATGTCTTCCAAAAGAATGGTAACTAAAAAATGCCACTACTGGCACACACATCGCTCCTCTCAAGCATTAGGATCCCACACGCCAAGAGATCTTTATATACATGTCATTTGAGAAAATGTTAGGTTTAACACCTAGTGAATCAAACGGTTACAAAATAAAAGTTATAAAGCATTGAACTGAAAACATAGTTTTAATCAAGTCATTTCATGCATTTAAATTAAGTTCACGGTTGGAAGGGCACAATATATTTTATGATGACGGAGGAGACCTGATTTACCATTGATAGTGAAGAACACGTAAGTGAGCACAACATACGGATAACCAATCATTAAGATCAACCTCTCGAGGTCTATAGTTTCATGAATTAACAAGCTCAACTCTTTCAAGTCTTTTGTTTGTGGAATCACCAAGTTCAACCATGCTAGGCCTTTACCTTGCGATCTCTAAAATCCAAGTTAAGCCCGTTCACTTAGAAATTACATTATATGGTCAATGATCGATGTCCGACTCAAAGAGTCCACACTTTATTGCATATGAAGACCCAACGCCTATTTCAAGTTACAAATAGGAAATATCACCCTATACACATAAAATAAAACCGCTTTCTATACCTATAGATCCATAACATTATAGTCTAAAATATATAACCATCTAGATGCGTCAAAACATACCCAACACATAAACAATATTATGAGGGTGTTTGGGATTGCTTATAAAAACAACTTATTGACTTATTCCGGTGTGACACCGGTAATAAGTATTTTTGAGTATTTGGATAAACAACTTATAGCGGTGCCAAATCAATAATAAGAAGTTTTTGAAAAAGTTAAACTCTTCTGACTTATAATAAGTTGATAAGTGTTTTATAGAAAAACATAAGTTATTTCAAATAAGTAATCCCAAACAACCC